AACATTTAAATCAAGCATGAAATACCTGTAGAGAGACTACTTAACATAAACTTAAAAAAATTAAAAAAAAAAAAAAAAATACACTTAATTTCTGATATCAATTAGCAAGTAAGTGACAGATTTAAATTTTAAAAACAATGAAAATCAGACAATACTGAATATAATCTATACTGAATTTAGATAACAGTGACCATATCTATAACTGATTTGATTTTCTACTTATCATTTTAGATGAACAGAAAGGATGAACTGAAAGTAAAATCAAGGGTAGAATCAGTCCTAATAGTGAGCTATGCCAGAATGCATGAAGAACAATTAAATATGATATGAATGAGCAGCAAAACTCACTTTAAACAGCACTAAAAGAATAAATCAATAATTTAGACTGAGATTTAAAATGACAGCAAGTTGTCAATCCTAACTAGTGTTAGAGGTGATATACGAAAAGTCAGTTTGAATTAAAAGATGATGCATAATTTTCTTCATCGAAAAGGTAGCACGATGGAGGAAGGCCTATAAATGTACATACATGTATACAACTGAAAACTTTATTTCCAGCACTGATTTTCTCTTATACCTATTCTAATACTTAAAAGTACACAAGTGTCAAAATGTTTGCAAAACATTTATTTTTAAGTATCTACCAGTTTTTCCATGTTACAAAAAAAAGAATCATTTAACAGAGACTACCAATTTAGCTTCAAATTTTATAGATAGCAGAGTTGTTAATTTAGTTTTCAAGGAAGTAGCACATAAAAACATTGCTTTTTGGATGTAATGGTGCTCAATGGCAGAGCACTTGCCTAGTACTGTGTGGCACTCGGTTCGATGTCTAGCAACACATAAAAATAAACAAATAAAATAAAGACGTGCTATCCATCTACAACTATAAAAATAAAAATAAATATAAGTTCATGAATGCCAAAAGAAAACTTTATACCATGAAAATCTCTGAAGAAAAATTACCTTTTGAAAAACAACATTAGTGGGCAGGGGGTGTGACTCAGAAGCAGAGTACTTGCCCAGCATGCACAGGGCCCTGGGTTTAATAAACAACACCACAAAAAAATATATGTAATAATAATAATAACCATTAAAATATATTAACTTAAATGCAATCCCACAATGCTGAGTGCAGTGGTACATGCCTGCAATTCCAATTACCTGGGAGGCTGTGGCAGAAGGATCACAAGTTCAAAGGCTTGCCTGGGGAACTTAGCAAGAACCTGTCTCAAAATAAAAAATAAAAAAGGCTGGGGATATAGCTAAGTGGTAGAGCACCCCTCCAGTATCACCAAAAAATAAAATATATACAGTACTACAAACAAGCATTAATAGCAATAAAGTAATATCTATCTATCTACCTGTGTGTGTGTGTGTGTGTGTATTATTTTTTATTTTTTTTTACTTCAAAAAATTACAATTTAACATGGGTAACAATGCTGCCTTTGGTTTTATATGGAATCATTCTTCCAAGGATCAATCTTCCACTCATTTGTACCTGTATTAAAAAACGTTGCAGAAGCAATACAAAATATTTTAAGAAAATTTCTCAATGATTCTTTCCTGAGGTAATCCCTGGAATTAACTGTTAGTACACCTAGTAAATAAAAGCAACCTTACTTCTTTTTTCTAAGGGGGGTACAACAGATTGAACCTAGAGGCACTTTACCACTAAGCTATATCCCTAGTCCATTTTTTTTACTTTTTGAGACAGGGTCTCACTAAGTTGTTTAGGGCCTCACTAAGTTGCTGAGGTTGGTCTCAAACTTGATATTCTCCTTCCTCAGCCTCCCGAGTTGCTAGGATTATAGGTGTGCACCACCACACCCAGCAAGTAACTTTACTTCTAAAAGCACATACAGAGACACACACACAACATACATACACACAATAATAAAATTTAATAAAACTAGATATTTTCTTTCTAATAAGAATTTTTTAAATGGTAGTTGCCTATTACATTAAAAACATTCAATAAAATTAAATTTAAACATTAACTATCTCTATGCTTACAATAAAACACTAATTAAATAAAAATTTTATATGTAAGAAAATATAGAAAGCTCACCAGTTAAACTTTATGTTGATTAGAGAGAACTGAAAGAAAAAAGGTGTGCCTAATTTAAAAAATGGTAGAGGTGGGCTGGGGATGTGGCTTAGTAGAGAACTTGCTTAGCAGGTGCAAGGCCCAAGACCACAAATAAAAACAAAAAACAAGTGGTACAGATATGAACCAAAATTACACCCTGTTTGTGAGGTGTCTGATTAATGAAGGCATGCTTTGTCAAATTCATCTTTTACATATGTCTGCCTAACAATAACATATTCTTGTCTGACCTTGAACACCTGGCTTCTTGGAGTTTTGTTCCCATTGTAACCCATATCGATTCCATTACTGGGGGAGGAAGGGCCAATTCGAAAGACATGACAAAATATCCTCACAATCCTTAAAAGGCTCTTCATTTGAGCATCATAATTGCTAGATAGGCTGAAAAAATTAAAACATGAACAGATTAGATGGAGCAAACAAACTATATCTTCAACAGTTTCATTTCACTGACCTTTAGCTTCATAATAAAACTGGGGTAAAATTCTCTTTTTATCATGATAGGAAATAAAATGGTTTAACAGCAAAGTATCGAATATACATTATTTGAATAGCTTATTAATAGAATGGTAATTTTAAAGTACCCAGAATATAACCAAGATCAAGGTGTAAATGTGGGAGGGGGGGAATACTCCTCTAGAACAATTGGTATCTTGATACACCAACTTCAAGGTAATTTTCAATTCTCCCTTCCAAAAGTACATTTTTAAGTTGAACTATTTAGAACTCTGAAAACATTTCACAAAGAACCAACTCTATAAATATTATGTTGTAAAAGTATACAGCTGCACAAAAGCAGACCAACCCATTGCTCAAATGTTTAAACTAAGAAGCTGAAACTCTATCTAGTCTATCCATAACTTCATAGCCCTCCCTGTCCAACAAGAGTAACCAATTATTGGCATACAGAATATTCACAAATTGAATAATCTTAAAGTTACCAACTAATTGCATTAGGGTTGTTCTCTATGTAATGGGTTGTACTATGACTCCACATAAACATAAGAAATAAACCCCAATGTGGAAAAGAAAAAAAATTCAACTAACATTAAATCATACAAAATATAAACTTTCTTAAACACATCGAAAAGCCCTTCAGAACCCCAAAGTACCTTGGGATTAGTCATAATCACAAATACCAATCATTCCTCTTCCACAGAGAAGCTGAAGAATTTCAGTTAAATTCATACTTAATTTAATAATATATCTATAAATAATTCTGGGGGTCTAGGGAATATTTTATTTTGAAATCTCTAATATCAATTATTTTGTATTATAACTGTTGCACAAACAGAGTAAGGAGTTTCATGAATTTTCAGGCAGAATGGCATAATTGTGTTTGTAATGAATCTAATTATCAAAAGTCCTCTGCATATTTTACCCAATTCATGGTAACATTTCTAGTATACCTTTAACATTTAAAAAAATAATAATAAGGATTAATAATTTGGGAATTGAAAATGTCTATTCATTAAAGTATTTACTACCACTTTCTAATAAAATGGAACAAAATCCAAACTAAACGGCAAATTGAATATAAGGAGACATCATGTCTGTTTTATTCACAACCACCTAATAGAATGTCTGGTGTCTGGCAGCAGGCATTCAAAAATACACATTAGACGCATGGATGAACAATAAAGGAAACTCCAAAAGGTTAGTTGCTAAGGCCACACAGTTAGTAAATGGTGTGTCTTTAGTTAGTTGCTAAGGCCACACTGTTAGTAATGGTGTGGATTTAAACTTGAGTCTGGCAGGCTCCAAGGACCATGCTTTTAATTAGCATATCTGAATCTTAGAAAGGCTTCATCAACAACGTGTAATACTGGGAATGACTAAAATAAGAGAGGCACATTATGGGAACCTGGAATTCAATAATTCTTATAGATAAGATTCTAAAAGTAGTTGCAAATAGAATAATTTTTTAAACTAGCAAATTGTATATTGAGTAGAACTGCTGAAGAAACTTTGAACAGTTTAAAGAATGCAAGAAAGTGATCTTGGCACCAAGAAAAAATAAAGGGTCTTAGAGTAAAGAAAATGACTCTCATCTGAAGTATATGAAAAGTTGAGGGGAAAATGAAACAAAGGACTAAAATCATGAATTTGACAATGTAGATGAATTATAGAACCTGCATGTTGTTGGGAGGAAAAAAGTTCAGTAGCAACTAAAAAGGTAGGAGACAATCATGACCTATCAATATAGAGATGATTAGTGAAAAAATAATAATAATAATAATACAAAGGGGAAAGCATCTAAATTAAAAGAGGGTCAAATTTATAAATTAATATGTAATAACAGAGAATTATATAGCTCAAGGGCATTTCTTAATAGCTACTTACTCCTAATTAGGGTGACTAACCACAAAAGAATGTAGCTGTGGGAAAATGCCATATATATAAAATGAAGTAATATAAAAGCATTAACTCCATGGACTTAGTGATGAGCCACTAAAATCACAAAAACTTCTGGAAAGAATAAAGAAACAAGGGGGAGAAATGAATTACAGTAGATGGGGTAGAGAGAGAAGATGGGAGGAGAGGGGAGGGAAGGGGGGATAGTAGAGGATAGGAAAGGCAGCAGAATACAATAGACACTAGTATGGCATTATGTAAATCAGTGGATGTGTAACCGATGTGATTCTGCAATCTGTATACGGGGTAAAAATGGGAGTTCATAACCCACTTGAATCAAAGTGTGAAATACGATGTCAAGAACTATGTAATGTTTTGAACAACCAACAATAAAAATTTTTAAAAATTTTTAAAATAAAAAAATTTAAAAATAAGATAAAATAAAATAAAAATGTTGGGTCCACCGAAAACTAAAAAAAAATAAATAAATATTAAAAAATCCAAAAAAAAAAAAAGAATAAAGAAACGAAATGAGACAGGGTAGGGAGAAAACTTCATGCTGAATCTCAAAAGTATTTTGAAAAGTTGAAGAAAAGCCTATACTCACTTTTATAAATTAGTGAGCAAGATTCCTGAACTACTTTTGGGATTCTTCTTCATGTGTGTTTACTTACATAACTAGTCTAAGTAATACTTTCAAAAAATTCCAAACACATATGACAAAACTCATTCAAGTATGCTTCAGTTTCTTTAAGATCAAAGTTTCTTTAGGTGATTATCTTGGTCCTTTTAAATAAAATAATGATACATCAGCAAATTTTCATAATATCTTACCACTGAAAAAAGGCACCTAACAGAATAACTATTCAGGTAAAAACTGCTACCTATTGAAATGCTGAAACACTTACCTAAGCAGCTTGTGACCATTTGTTGTAGCAACTTCAGCAAGGCTTGTTAGAATCTTTAGGTACTGGCTTTCACTTTGCTGAGACAAATGCTCCAGAACTTGCCGTAGCTAAATATTTATAAGTAAAAAATTGAGATTAAATAAACTATTAAATTTTGTCAAAAAATTAAGTACTTATTAATTTAATAAACACCTTAAAGCCAATCAGCTAAAATAGAAACCTTTATACTTTGCTTTGTATAAATTTAAAAGTTAATATGATACATGATAACATAAAATTTTGTTGAAAATTACACAGTAAACAACAATTTAAAAAAAAGAGAATAAAAATCACCTAGTGTATCTTTGGAAATTTAACTCCAGACTTCTCAAATTTCAGAAAATTTTAAATTCCATAATTTTTCTAAGATTATAGCTACTATAAATAATAGCACTCAGGGATGGGGATGTAGCCAAGCAGCAGAAAGATTTGGAGTTAATCTCCAGCATAGCAAAAAGAAAACCAAAAATAAAAAAAACAGTGCTTGGTAAACTAGTGATTACAAATCATAACATGACATTCCTCCTCAGATTCGTTTCCTCTTTCCCAGGGAATAGTTATCCTAAGGGAAGATCAAAGATCCACAGAACAGAAGAGTTAGAAGGCCAAATATTAGCCCAAAGTTTGTTAATTATTACATATGTTTCTTGGTATCTCTGGGGACTAACACCTGAATTCCCAAGGATATCAAAATCTGCAGATACTCAAGTTCTTTATATAAAATGGCATAGTATTTGCATATAACCTATGAACCTTTTTCCACATATTTTAAATCATTTCTAGATCACTTTTCATACCAAATGCAATAAAAATGCTATGCAAATAGTTCTTGTACTATATGGTTTAACAAACAACAAGAAAAAAAATTGTAATGTTCAGTACATATGCAATTTTTAAAAATGTTTTTGACCCCTGATTGGTTGAATCCATGCATGGAGAACCCATGGACATGAAGGAATAAAAGGAATTCATACTTATTCTATAGTGCAGATAAGCATATTCAAATTATTAAAATATTTGTATTAATAAATAAAATTACTAAGCACATTTGGAAAGTTTCACATATATAAGCCTGAATAAAGCTTGTTCATTTCCAAGTTACTAGCACAATTATATTACCATGTTTTCTCGGAGGTCTTCATTCTGTGTCATTTGAATAATAGTCTGAAAAAGCCTAGGATGATACTGAATTAATACTTCACAAGTCTCTCCATATCCACCCTAAAAACAAGACTTAAAATTACTCAACTTCAAAAATAAAGTTTTTCTTAACAGTCATTTATACTTCACAGTATAAAAATCTTTGCACTCACCCACTCATTTATGAAAAAATGATTTTACTATTCTCAGTTTCTATCTTAAATTGGCTCAAAATATATATTGAAAACATACCTGTACACATAAATCCAGAGGGGTTACTCCATTTTTATCTGGCAAATATTTGGCTCCTCGTAATAGAAGAATCTGTGCTGTATCTCTCTGACCATGACTATATAGAAATAGAACCAAATTAAAAATAAAATATTTTTTTATTTTTAATAAATTTACTTAAATAGCCAATTTATCATATTTTACTAATTTGATATATTTGCTTTACATACACAAACAGACATAAACATCTTGGAAGATCAAGTTTTTATCTTTGAAAATCATTTGTAAGTCTAAAAATAAAATATTTTAATAGTCTCTTCAACAAATGGTGCTGGGAAAACTGGAAACCCATATGTAACAAAATAAAATTAAACCTCCCTCTCTCACCATACACAAAACTCAACTCAAAGTAGATCAAGGACCTAGGAATTAAACCAGAGACCTTGTGCCTAATAGAAGAAAAAGTAGGCCCAAATCTCCATTACGTTGATTAGGCCCAAACTTCCTTAATAAGACTCCTATAGTGCAACAATTAAAACCAAGAATCAATAAATGGGATGGATTCAAACTAAAAAGCTTTTTCTCAGCAAAAGAAACAATCAGTGAAGTCAACAGAGCACTTACAGAATGGAAGCCAATCTTTACCAATAGCATATCAGATAGAACACTAATATAAAGCACTCAAAACCCTTAACATCAAAAAAAAAAAACAAATAACCCAATCAATAAATGGGCCAAGAAACTGAACAGACACTTCTCACAAGAGGATATACAATCAATCAACAAATACATGAGAAAATGTTCAATATCTCTAGTGAATAGAGAAATGCAAATCAAAACTACTCTAAGATTTCATCTCAAGCCAGTCAGAAAGGCAGCTATAAAGAATACAAACAACAATAAGTGTTAGTGAGGAGTGGGGAAAAAGGCACACTCATATATTGCTAGTGGGAGTGCAAAATGGTGCAGCCAATATGGAAAGCAGTATGGAGATTCTTTGGAAAACTTGGAATGGAACCACCATTTGACCCAGCTATCCCACTCCTCGGTCTATACCCATAGGACTTAAACAACAGCATACTACAGGGACACAGCCACATCAATGTTTATAGCAGCACAATTCACAATAGCTAAATTGTGGAACCAACCTAGATGCCCTTCAGTAGATGAATGTATAGGGAAACTTTGATATATATATACACAATGGAATGTTATTCAGCATTAAAAGAGAATAAAATCATGGCATTTGCAGGTAAATGGATGGAGTTAGAGAATATACTGCTAAGTGAAGTTAGCCAATCCCAAAAAACCAAATGTTTTCTTTGATATGAGGATGCTGACTCATAATGATGATGGGGGCGGGGGTGGGGGTGGGGGGTGGGCATGGAAGGAATGGAGGAAAATTAGATAGGACAAAGGGGAGGGAGGGGAAAAGTGAGGGCATGGGGGTAGAAAAGATGGTGGAATGAGTTAGACATCATTACCCCAAGTACATGTATGAAGACACAAAAAGTGTGAAAATACTTTGTGTACAACAGTGACTTGAAAAATTGTGCTCTATATGTGTAATAAGAAATAAAATGCATTCTGCCGTCAAATGTAACAAATTAGAAAAAATAATTTAATAAAAAAAGAAAAGTAAAAAATCTGGATTCCATAACAAAAATAAAATCTTTTAAAGTCTTTCTCTATGAATTATGGATGGTTAATATGAATCCTACAATAACTCATAACATTTTGAGATATGTAACTATTTATCAAACTCTGATCATTCATTTTCCTTCCATTCACTTCCTAATCCCTTTCTCAAGTCTATCCTGACCTCCTTTCTACCACAAACACCCAAATTTTTAGACTACTTACTCCAAAAGAATTTAAATATTAAAAATAAGGCCCTGGGTTCAATCCTCAGCACCACATACAAATAAATAAATAAAATAAAGATATTGTATCCAACTATGATTACAAAAAAAATCAATATTTTTTTTAAAAAACACATTTCATAGCACTTTCTTTGTTAAAAAAAAAAAAAGAAAAAGAAAAGAGCATCAAAATAAGAACTTAAGGGAAGAACACAAGTGAGAATTACAAGGAAAAAATATCTATTTCAACCTTTATCAACCCACTCAGTTTGGCTATTCAATCTAGTCTAGAATAAACAACTCTCCTATCCACATGCCTTTCTCTGATAGCTCTCCTTGTACTACTACTCTTTCAGTTAGAACCATTATACTCTGGAGGTAGCAATCACTAGACCCTAGGTCTTTTTATTCAATGAGTTCCTCTGACTCAAAATAAAGTCAACAAAAATAAATACATTTACAATTCAGAGACATTAAAATATAAGGCTGATTTTAACAAATGTTCAAAGAAGTTCCACAATTTAAAAAGACCATCTAATACAAAAACTTTACTTTGAAAGTGAGAAAAGCAACTAAACTTAGCAAAATGGATTTTTTTTTAACATTGATTCAGATAATTTTCACTTCCTTGAAGAGGAAATAGAAGTGATCTCTCAAACACTTTCATTCTTCTAACTTCAGACTTTGTGAATTTGAGAACTTGGATAGAATATATAATTGTACAAATAGAAGCAATATTTTTTGGAATAGCCTGAAACAAAATGACCGTATTTTCAAAGGGGATGTTCCAAATCTAAGTTTATAATTCTGAGTCTAAGGTCTACTGGCTATTTACAGAGTTTGATAACTAAAAGGAGTTGCCTGGCAGGAACTATGAATCCATGCTCTGAATTTTATCCCTTTATAACTATTACAAAGCTCTAAAACTCAATACATGTCTCACTAATTTACTGTATCTATACATCTCAACAAAATCTTACTTTTCCTAACAGAATGAAAGTTATCTGAAGATACAGAAAATACTTGAAAATCTAAATATCACAAGTACAATTAAAAGTCTGCCTGTAAATGTTTTTTGGTTTTACTTCTCAACACGGACTTGTATAACTTTCTTTGTTCAAAGCTATCTGATGTTTGCTAGTTTAGAACCTAAGCATGTACAAGGCCCTTGGTGAATTCTAAGTACCAAAAAAACGAAAAAACCCTTAATGATATAGGGGGATATAGTAGTAGCAGAATGTACTTCTAAAAACATCTTTTTATCACATTCCAACATTCAGACTATGGGAATATCTCAGTTCTGTATTACCATACTTATATTTACTATTATAAATGTCACTGTTTCATATAAAATATTTTTCAAGCATGAAATTACAGTGACTCAATTCATTCAAAAACATCTTCCAAAATGAAATTAAACCTCTATCTCTCACCATAAACAAAACTCAACTCAGAATGGATCAAGGACCAAGGAATTAGACCAGAGACCCTGCACCAACTAGAAGAAAAAGTAGACCCAAATCTTCATCATGTCGGGTTAATCCCTGACTTCCTTTACAAGACTCTTAAAGCACAAGAAATAAAATCAAGAATCAATAAGTGGGATGGATTCAAACTAAAAAGCTTCTTCTCAGCAAAGGAAACAATCATTGAGGTAAAGAGAGAGCCTACATTATGGGAGAAAATTTTTACCACAAGCACATCAGATACAGTACTAATCTCCAGGATACATAAAGAACTCAAAAGACTTAATACCAAAAAAATAAACAACCCAATCAATAAAAGCGCTAAGGAACTGAACAGAAGAAGATATTCAGGCGATTAACAAATATATGAAAAAGTGTTCAACATCTTTAGTAATTACAGAAATGCAAATGAAAACTAAGATTTCATCTCACCCCAATCAGAATGGCAGTTATCAAGAATACAAGCAATAATAAGTGCTGGAGAGGATGTGAGGAAAAAGGTACACTCATATATGGCTGGTGGGACTGCAAATTGGTACAACCGCTTTGAAAAGCAGTGTGGAGATTCCTCAGAAAACTTGGAATGGAACCACCATTTGACCCAGATATCCCACTCCATGGTCTATACCCAAAGGACTTAAAATCAGCATACTATAGTAACATAGCCACACCAATATTTATACCAGCTGAATTCACAATACTAAACTGTGGAACCAACCTACATGCCATTCAGTAGATGAATGGATAAAGAAAACGTGGTATATATACACAATGGAATATTACTCATCAATAAAAGAGAATAAGGCATTTGCAGGTAAATGGATGGAGCTGGAGAATATAATGCTAAGTGAAGATAACTACTACAGTACTCTAGTCAAGACGTAACAGTTTCAATGAGTTTAAGAGTGGAAAAGTTTCAAAACAAATTCTGAATGTAGAATTTACAGAACTTACTAAATAAGTTCCAAGCTGAGGGTTCAGAGAGAAATAAAAAAAATAATGATCTGGTCTCTGGCTTAAAGAACTGGAGAATAAGGGAAACTGAAAGAAAGATTTGAAAAAGAAAATCAGAAACTGTATTTTGGACATGTTAACATCTGAGATTCTATGAGATTTTTGAGTGATGAGAGACACTCAAATTCAGAGGTTCAAAGAAAACTCTGATCTAAAGATAAATTCTAAATAGGGTATGATTTCAGGTAATCAAACAATTATATTATTCATAAATTAAGAACACTATGGAAGGAACGGCTATTCTAACCAACCAACCAAATTTTAAGTATAAGAAAATGACTAGATTTAGACAAAATCTAGATGTATAAAGATTCAAAAGCTCCTGTACATAAGGGCCCCTTGAACATAAGAGTCTAAAATTTTATAAATTTTTAAATTCATAAAATTTAAATCAAAGACAAGATTCACTACAATGTTTGGTGAACTGCTCCTAACAAAGGTTGTTCAATAAATAATCTGAATCAGTCTGATCAAGATAATATCAGAGACCCAACAAGAAGCTAAAGAGGAAAGGCAGGTCTTTCAGTCTAAAACAAACATACAGACTTTTTGTCATTATTCCCTAAACAATACAGTATATCAACTATTTGTACAAGATTTACAATGTATTAGGTATAAGTAATTTAGAGATGATTTAAAGTACACAGGAGGATATGCATAGTTTATACGCAAATATTAGGCCACTTTATATAAGGGATCTGAGTATTAGAGAACTTTGGTATTTATGGGAGAATTCTAGAACCAATACTAGGGGACACCAAGAAAGCACTAGAATTTAAATCAAAAAAGAAGAACCACTATAGTTTTTTGTGCACGGCTTCTCTCTGTAAGCTACATTTATATACCATCCCAACACACAAACTCTCGTATATCTAAGTGGGTGTGAATACATGTGTGTAATTTTTATGTTGCTCTTTAGATACTGGGGTTTTTTTGTTTTGTTTTGTTTTTGTTATTATTTGTTTTGCTTTCTATGATGATAGATCTGGAACCCAGGGCCTTGTACATGCCAGACAAGTGTTCTACCACCAAGCTACATCCTAGCCCTACTTATTACTATATCACTAATACCTATAACATGCAGTGCTAGCTACGTGTTTGCCAATTAAGTGAATGAATAAGTGAACAAATGTCCAAGTCAAGAAAAGATCAAGAAACAAGCACAAAAATAATGTATAATAATGTATAACTTAGTAACTAACAAAACTGACTCAATATTTTAAAGTTACAGATACAGAGAAAGCAAAACCATGGCTCTGGACCAAAACATATTTCAATAGCTTATCCCAAAGGAACTCACCTGGTTAGTTAATAAAGTGACCTATGGGAATTACTGGATTATTGATTTTTCTTAAAACTGAAATAATCAATTAAATCAAAAGCTCCCACCTACAGCATAAAAACACTGGCGATGAAATATAAGAGAAAATGCTTTCCCTCATGTAGTTAAGTAACAAAACCAAAATGCTTTTCTTCATCTTAAAAGAGAACATAACATTTTTGTGAAATTAGAGCTGTAGATAATATACAGAAATATTTGATTGAAAATATGGTAGACACACAACTTTGTTTTTTGGATATATGAAAATATAAAATATCATACCTGCAAGCAAAGTACAATGGAGTGGCTCCTGACACATTTGGCCTGTTAATATCAGCACCACTGTCTAGCAAGCATTGCACTGTCTAGGGAGGGGGGAAAAAAACAATTAAAATCAAAGAAGTCAAAAGATACAATTCTCAGAATTTAAATTCATATAAGGAAAGTTCTTCCCATAACTCAAAAGCTTTAAAGAGAAAACGAATGGGCATATGACAATTATGATGGCTGCACAAACTCAACTTTGATAAGCTCTGAGTCTCTCAGGCATCACATGCTATGTATGGAATTATCAGTGTGAGATAAACTGTTTTAGCATGAAAAAAACTCCTGAGCAGCACTGTTTCATAGCTAATATAAAAATATTAAAAGTTCACACTTGATGATTAGAGATAAGGCAAAGTACACCTAAAAGCCTTAAAAACTAAATGTGTGTGTGTGTGTGTGTGTGTGTGTACACACACATACACATTTTATATATATAAAAATACACACACACTTATTCTGGTTTTATTTCTATAATCTTCATTTGAGTTCCTCCTGCAAAAAGAAATAAAATATGTAAAAATATAGTTTTTTTTGAACAAAACTGTTTTATTTATTCTGGATTGAACACATGTATTCATTTTGATTGCTGCTCTAAAAACCTAGTAGTGTGTTAACATACACCTATACAAGGAAGAACAAGAAAGAATACACCAGTGTACTAGATAAGCCAAAAGGTTTTTGAAAGATGGCAAACAAATGGAGGACAGTAAATTGACTCAGCAGATCAAAAAAAGCTGAGTCCAAATGGGAATTCTAATAAGAAGCAACCAAATTCTTTTCTTTTTTTTTAATTTTTTATTGTTGGTTGTTCAAAACATTACAAATTTCTTGACATATCATATTCCACACTTTGATTCAAGTGGGTTATGAACTCCCACCTTCACCCCATACATAGATTTCAGAATCACATCAGCTACACATCCATTGATTTACATATTGCCATACTAGTGTCTGTTGTGCTCCGCTGCCTTTCCCATCCTCCCCCCTCCCCCCTCCTCACCTCTCCCCTCCCCTCCCCTCCTCTCTCTCTACCCCCTCCACTGTATAACCCTGAGGGTCTCCTTCTATTTCCATGCAATTTCCCTTCTCTCTCCCTTTCCCTCCCACCTCTCATCCCTGTTTAATGTTAATCTTCTTCTCATGCTCTTCGTCCCTACTCTGATCTTAGTTACTCTCCTTATATCAAAGAAGACATTTGGCATTTGTTTTTTAGGGATTGGCTAGCTTCACTTAGCATAATCTGCTCTAATGCCATCCATTTCCCTGCAAATTCTATGATTTTGTCATTTTTTAATGCAGAGTAATACTCCATTGTGTATAAATGCCACATTATTTTTATCCATTCGTCTATTGAAGGGCATCTAGGTTGGTTCCACAGTCTTGCTATTGTGAATTGTGCTGCTATGAACATCGATGTAGCAGTGTCCCTGTAGCATGCTCTTTTTAGGTCTTTAGGGAATAGACCGAGAAGGGGAATAGCTGGGTCAAATGGTGGCTCCATTCCCAGCTTTCCAAGAAATCTCCATACTGCTTTCCAAATTGGCTGCACCAAATTGCAGTCCCACCAGCAATGTACAAGTGTACCCTTTTCCCCACATCCTCGCCAGCACTTGTTGTTGTTTGACTTCATAATGGCTGCCAATCTTACTGGAGTGAGATGGTATCTTAGGGTGGTTTTGATTTGCATTTCTCTGACAGCTAGAGATGGTGAGCATTTTTTCATGTACTTGTTGATTGACTGTATGTCCTCCTCTGACAAGTGTCTGTTCAGGTCCTTGGCCCATTTGTTGATTGGGTTGTTTGTTCTCTTATTGTCTAATTTTTTGAGTTCTTTGTATACTCTGGATATTAGGACTCTATCTGAAGTGTGAGGAGTAAAGATTTGTTCCCAGGGTGTAGGCTCCCTATTTACCTCTCTTATTGTTTCTTTTGCTGAGAAAAAACTTTTTAGTTTGAGTAAGTCCCATTTGTTGATTCTAGTTATTAACTTTTGTGCTATGGGTGTCCTATTGAGGAATTTGGAGCCCGACCCCACAGTATGTAGATCGTAGCCAACTTTTTCTTCTATCAGACGGCGTGTCTCTGATTTGATATCAAGCTCCTTGATCCATTTTGAATTCACTTTTGTGCATGGCGAGAGAAAGGGATTCAGTTTCATTTTGTTGCATATGGATTTCCAGTTTTCCCAGCACCATTTGTTGAAGATGCTATCCTTCCTCCATTGCATGCTTTTAGCCCCTTTATCAAATATAAGGTAGTTGTAGTTTTGTGGATTGGTTTCTGTGTCCTCTATTCTGTACCATTGGTCCACCCGCCTGTTTTGGTACCAGTACCATGCTGTTTTTGTTACTATTGCTCTGTAGTATAGTTTGAAGTCTGGTATCGCTATACCGCCTGATTCACACTTCCTGCTTAGCATTGTTTTTGCTATTCTGGGTCTTTTATTTTTCCATATGAATTTCATGATTGCTTTCTCTATTTCTACAAGAAATGCCGTTGGGATTTTGATTGGCATTGCATTAAACCTATAGAGAACTTTTGGTAATATCGCCATTTTGATGATGTTAGTTCTGCCTATCCATGAACAGGGTATATTTTTCCATCTTCTAAGATCTTCTTCTATTTCTCTCTTTAGGGTTCTGTAGTTTTCATTGTATAAGTCTTTTACCTCTTTTGTTAGGTTGATTCCCAAGTATTTTATTTTTTTTTGAAGATATTGTGAATGGAGTGGTTGTCCTCATTTCCATTTCAGAGGATTTGTCGCTGATATACAGGAATGCCTTTGATTTATGAGTGTTGATTTTATATCCCGCCACTTTGCTGAATTCATTTATTAGCTCTAATAGTTTCTTTGTAGACCCTTTTGGGTCTGCTAGGTACAGAATCATATCATCTGCAAATAGTGATAATTTAAGTTCTTCTTTTCCTATTTTTATGCCTTTAATTTCTTTCGTCTGTCTAATTGCTCTGGCCAGTGTTTCGAGAACTATGTTGAACAGAAGTGGAGAGACAGGGCATCCCTGTCTTGTTCCAGATTTTAGAGGGAATGCCTTCATTTTTTCTCCATTCAGAATGATGCTAGCCTGAGGCTTAGCATAGATTGCTTTTACAATATTGAGGTATGTTCCTGTTATCCCTAGTTTTTCTAGAGTTTTGAACATAAAGTGATGCTGTACTTTGTCGAATGCTTTTTCCGCATCTATCGAGATGATCATATGGTTCTTATTTTTAAGTCTATTGATGTGGTGAATAACATTTATTGATTTCCGAATATTGAACCAGCCTTGCATCCCAGGGATGAATCCTACTTGATCATGGTGCACAATTTTTTTGATATGTTTTTGTATCCGATTCGCCAGAATTTTATTGAGGATTTTTGCATCTAGGTTCATTAGAGATATTGGTCTGTAGTTTTCTTTCTTTGAAGTGTCTTTGTCTGGTTTAGGTATCAGGGTGATGTTGGCCTCGTAGAATGAATTTGGAAGTTCTCCCTCTTTTTCTATTTCCTGAAGTAGCTTGAAAAGTATTGGTATTAGTTCTTCTTTAAAGGTTTTGTAAAATTCTGCTGTATACCCATCCGGTCCTGGGCTTTTCTTAGTTGGTAGTCTTTTGATGGTTTCTTCTATTTCCTCAATTGATATTGGTCTGTTTAGGTTGTCTATATCCTCCTGACTCAATCTGGGCAGATCATATGACTTAAGAAATTTATCGATGCCTTCACTATCTTCTAATTTATTGGAGTATAAGGATTCAAAATAGTTTTTGATTATCTTCTGTATTTCTGAAGTGTCTGTTGTGATATTGCCTTTTTCATCCCGTATGCTAGTAATTTGAGTTCTCTCTCTTCTTCTCTTCGCTAGCATCGCTAAGGGTCTGTCGATTTTGTTTATTTTTTCAAAGAACCAACTTTTAGTTTTGTCAATTTTTTCAATTGTTTCTTTTGTTTCGATTTCATTAATTTCAGCTCTGATTTTCATTATTTCTTGCCTTCTACTTCTTTTGCTGTTGTTTTGCTCTTCTTTTTCAAGGATTTTGAGATGAAGTATGAGATCATTTATTTGTTGGTTTTTTTCTTTTTTTAAGGAATGAACTCCAAGCAATGAATTTTCCTCTTAGAACTGCTTTCAATGTGTCCCATAGATTCCGATATGTTGTGTCTGTGTTTTCATTTATCTCTAAGAATTTTTTAATTTCCTCCTTGATGTCTTCTATAACCCATTGATCATTCAGTAACCTATTGTTCATTCTCCAAGTGATGTATGCTTTTTCCTTCCTTCTTTTATCTTTGATTTTCAGTTTCATTCCATTATGATCAAATAAGATGCATGGTATTATCTCTACTCCTTTATATTGTCTGAGAGTTGCCCTGTGACATAATATATGATCTATTTTTGAGAAGGATCCATGTGCTGCTGAGAAAAAAGTGTAACTGCTTGATGTTGGGTGGTATACTCTATATATGTCAATTAAGTCTAGGTTATTAATTGTGTTATTGAGTTCTATAGTTTCCTTATTCAACTTTTGTTTGGAAGATCTGTCCAGTGGCGAGAGAGGTGTGTTGAAGTCTCCCATGATTATGGTATGGTGGTCTATTAGACTCTTGAACTTGAGAAGAGTTTGTTTGACGAACATAGCTGCACCATTGTTTGGGGCATAAATATTTATGATTGTTATGTCTTGTTGGTGTATGGTTCCCTTAAGCAGTATGTAGTGTCCCTCTTTATCCCTTTTGATTAACTTGGGCTTGAAATCTATTTTATTTGATATGAGTATGGACACTCCTGCTTGTTTCCGAAGTCCATATGAGTGATATGATTTTTCCCAACCTTTCACCTTCAGCCTATGTATGTCTTTTCCTATCAAATGTGTCTCCTGTAGGCAGCACATTGTTGGGTCTTGTTTTGTGATCCATTCTACTAGCCTGTCTCTCTTAATTGGTGAGTTTAAGCCATTAACATTTAGGGTTATTATTGAGATATGGGTTGTTCTTCCAGCCATATTTGTTTATTTCTGTTACTAAACATGGTTTGTTTTCCTC